TTCATGATGTGTTCAGAAGCAGACTCCATCGGAAATAACAAAAAATTTTCAATCTTACACTTCTCAACAACACAACAACTTACAACTCTGCCTATCTTGCTGAGAAAACGAACTTCGACTCAATCATTCGACTTTTATGCAACGTAATAAGACATTGTAATTCGTTTGCTTGTATCTTCAAATTACACTTCCCATCTTAGTAATAAATAGAATCCAATGATGATTTTCAGTACCAACGTAGAATTTGATTTTTTATTTTTATCCCATGGCAACGCACTGTCCTCTCGATTCGGCAACTATAAAATTCTAGGTCGTAGACTGTCTGTACCGTTACACAGTTCCAACGATACGAGATTTCAGTGGAGTTTCGACTTTCATTGCATTTCGTTTCGAACGCGTTACGAATCGAATCGGTTTTGCAATACAGGTCCAAGGTGAGAGAGAGCGTCTAGTGACGCGTCATTTTTACCGTTAAATGGCACACCGATTAATAAATTATTCAGTTTCCTGCTTACAATTTACTGTCCCTCCGGTTGGTCAGCGTAATAATTAAGGCTCCGTTTCAAGCTTGACGTCTCTCGTTAAATGCCTAACTGTACCCTCGCGGTGTTCTTAAATTTAAAGCTTCTTAGAAAAAGTTGCAGCGGCTGATGAACTCCTGATTTACAGCTTCTCGCGAGAAAGATCGTTTACGAAATACTCGAACGCCTCTCCTTATTTAGAGAATGATTTCGAGAGAAATTTCTCTATCTTTCTCAATGCGTAGGATGATCCACATAGCACGAGATTAAAAAGTCGCGAGATGTACCACGTCGCGTTTAAACACTTTCACGTCGCGACGCAACTCCCATAAAATGAGAACGTAGGCGACACTAAAATCTATTCTAAACGATCAACCAATCGTTATCCTTGGCGGTTCGTTGGGTGCATTCTAATTAATTGATTTAATTAAGTCACTCGTGGACACGTTCGATAGAAATCGAGTTTGTCTCGTCGACAAATACAGAGGGAAATCAGAAGTGGTGGGCCTTGGATTTTTGAAGGTCCTCCCGTCAGGATCTGATTTTATATTGAATATTCGGTATCGAAAGTGGGCCGCGCTAAAGGACCTCGCGCATTTCTTCTCGCGGCGGGTGTCGCAATAAACGCGTGGGAGTTTCGCGTTATTGGATACACATTTGCGTGCGTGTGCAGAGGCGCGCGTGTCACTCGCGTGTACATACGTCGCCGACTAATTGATAGGTTTTGTCATCGTGTTTCCTTCTGTCTACCTACCGGATGATATCATTGACACGCTAACACATTTCGCGGTGATACCCTTACCAAGAGACAACGTTGCCAGCAGACATTTGCATGAACAAATGCGAATTTTTATCTTTCAACCAAAGACAATCGTTCTTAGTGAATTGATAAAAAGACACAAGTTTTCAATTCCATAAAAAATAGAAAGAAAACGAAACTTTTTTTATCATATTGTTATAGTTGCAATTATTGTTTAAGCTGGTACCATGCTAGTACCACTGCCAACACTAAATTGCACTCATATACTTCTGACTATTAGTACACATCAACAAGAAGACAAACAAAACTTGAATTTGTTATGTCACTGGATGATTGAAAGTAATTCTACTGCAATCCATTCCGTCGACGTAAAAAAAATTCCAGAGGATACAATGCGAATGATGTCACATGAAAGTGAACGGTGTTACCTCACGTTGTTTGCAAGCTACTTCCGCGACGGAAATAGCGGGCAGTATCGATGCATTTAAAGTTTCGAGGGTGGCCAAATTTCCATGACGAATTCATTTTCAGCGAAGGGCTCCAATGGTCGAATCGCCAGCTGCGCGGCTCGTTGGTCGAGGAGTTAAGGGTACGCGAAGGTGCTCATGACGGAGGGGCCAAGGGGGGCCACAGGTGCATCGCACTCGCACGCCCTCCTTTATTACGTTCCTCCGCGTCGGCCGTTCTCTCTTTTCCGTGTCTCTCGCTTCAACTTGAAGCAACCCTGCTCGTTAGTAACGGACTCACGACGTAGCATGCTATCTACCGCTGTGCATTATCCTAAATTCTCGATTATGTACTTATACGAGACGTGCGAGGGAGTTTGTTGAGATAACAAGCGTCCGTAATGAATGCTGTAGACATTTCCTGTTCTTCCTAATTTGACAACTTTAAAGCTTATTCAGTCATGAAGCGCACAGTAATTTATCACTGTGATTCTTTTTCGCAATTAGTTCCTGTGAACTGACTAATTTGGTACAAAGATATCTGATGTATCCCAATAATGTTTGTATTTTAGTACTACTTGAAATTATTCACTATTTATTGACTTCCCTGTAC